ATCTGATAGGTCACCGATATGGTAGTCCAAAATGTCATCCAACAAGATCAAAATGTCGAGGACCATAGGTCACCAATGTCGGGGATACAGAGTCCAAATGTAATTGGTGTCCGAACTGTGATGTCGCCAAGTATCAACCCCAACGATCTCCAAGTCTCCAATCTGGTAAGTACCACAGTCTCATACCACCGAAGTCCAATACTGATCTCTGTCCAACTAGTATAAGTCTCCAATCTGAAGAAGAAGAAGAAGAAGAAGGAGAAGAGGAAGGAGCCGAGGAGGAGAGAGAGAGAGAGAGGGGACTGGCGAGGGGAGGGAGGAGAGAGGCCTCCAACCCCGATACCTCAGGCGGCTATGGCCGCCGGCACACCCAGTCGCCGCTGCTGTGCTAATGCTGCGCTGCTGCTCCTCGCTGCTCCTGTGCTAAACTTAGCGCCAGCGCTGTCTCGCGCTGTACCATACCGTACCGGTAGAATGCCGGTAGGTCGATGCCTCCAAGTGAGGCTGTACCGGTACTTTATACCGGTGGGGCAGAGGCCGGCCTCAATGCTGCAAAGAAGAGCCATGCCTGAACCGTCCAGATGGACGGTTCAGCCCCAACCGGCGGGCGGCAGGCTCAAGAGCGCCGCCAGGCCCAAACGATAATGCCGTTTGGGCCTGTCGGGTACTGGTCCAAGATCGGGCCCTGAGGGCCTGTACTACCCCAAGGTCGGGCCTTTAGGCCCTGGTGTGTCCCTCTAGCCCTAAGTCGGGTCCGGTAGGACCCGTGTGCGTCGAAGATGTAACACTAGGCCTCTTGGGTAGGCGTGTGGTCGGGCTTGGCCTTTCCCTGCGAGGAGTGCCATTGCCATTTCAAGGAGGAGCTGCCACCGTTCTCACGTGCTGCCCCGTGCTGCCGTGCTGCCGTGCTGCCCTGTGAGGGAGGAGTTGCCGCCATCGCCCGGTGAGTATCACCGGCCTCGACCTCCCCTTCATCATCTTCACTGCCTCCTCCTCCTCCCCCTCCTCTCCTCCTGCTCGTCCTACTCCTCCCCTTCCTCTTCCTCCATCTCTCCTCCTTGTCCTCCCTTCTCCTCCTCCTCCTCCTCCTCCTCCTCCTTCTCCTCCTCCTCCTCCTCTCCCACAGGTGTCGAATTTGCCAGTTTTCTTCTTTTTTTTTTTGACCTTTTCTCTATTTGTGCGTGTGCTAATCTTCTCTGTATCGTTCCCATCCCTCCGTTTCGCCTCCCATCCCTC